TCACATTTACCCCAGCGCACACAACGTGCCCATGACGTCAGGAACCATACTGATGTCCGGTTACCATGAAGCAAAAATGGCGACCCATTTTTCTTGCTCCCTTGCTGACAATCTCTTCTCAAGAACTGTTCATGGTGGTGACTGGTTGTCAGTTTATTTGTTTCTCGTTCCCACCCTCCCACTCCCATATTTATCCTCACATGCTTACTTTTATAAAGTAAACCCCAATAAACGGTGCCCGGCGGCTCTCCATTTCTCCATTGAAGGCATCAGTGGGCTCTTGGCTCTTGCCAACCCTGCCATTACTTGCCCCCCCCCCCCCCCCCCCCCGGGCAAATGCATTTCAATTTCGCCGGCCGCGCACCATCTACCCAAGCAATGTGTGTTATTGTTAATGTGTGTGTGTGTGTGTTTGTGTGTGTGTGCATGTGTGTGTGTGTATGTGTGTGTGTGTGTTTGTGTGTGTGTGCATGTGTGTGTGTGTGTGTGTTTGTAGTTGTAGAGGTCGGTTGCACTTTTCTGGCCTCTAACCAAAATAGAAGGATAACTGTGTTTGCAGCCACGGCCGTCTGGTGTAGACTAGGCCATATTAGCTGCAGCATGTTCCAGTGGATTTGTGTTATGCTGGGACTAGGTACACAAACACTGGTTTTCGCTATCTCTTACGATTGCTGGTACAGAAATTTACTTGATCATATGTCTCTGCTGTTTATAGGCCAAAGCTACCACAGTTGCAAGCTCATCTGAATCCGCCTCGGGTGGGACACCAAGTCAGAATTCAAAGAAGAAGTCAAAGAAAAAGGTATTGTCTTGCTTAGTTTTAGGTGTCTATGTTCCTATTGATTCTCGTTCTCTTCTCCCACAGAGACCCATGTGACCACCAGTGTTGGCAGTTATCACGTATACATACAAGTATCAGTTTAAGGATGGCAATAAACAGAATCAGCTGAAACATCATGTCACGAAAGTTTTATTGAGTAGAAGTAGAAGTAAAATTGAGTGTGTGTGTGCATGTTTGTATGTGTGTGTGTGTGTGTTTGTGTGTGTGTATGTGTGTGTATGTGTGTGTGTCCCTTTTCCTCATCCTCTTACTGAGGTGTTGTGAGCCCATAGGTGGGATCATTTTCAAGTCCACCCAGAGTTTTGGGGATTTCAGGGGGTGTCGGCCGTTGGACGGTTCAATAGCCAATTGAGTCATCCTTCCAAGATTCCTTTTGAGTCTCTCTCCCCTCTGCCGGGGAGACCCACGTGACCAGTTTTGGCAGTGAGCAACAAGTACAAAAAAGTACAAGTGTGTGTATGTGTGTGTGTATATATAATATACAGTGAAGTCGCGGATAAAAGCCGTGTTTGCATACAAGCACATCGCGGTTATAGGCCATTCACACGACGTGCAAACATTTGCACGCGTGTGATCAAGATAACACTGGCAAACCGTGATTCAGTTCACACGGTGCTGGGCAAACTTTGCAACCGTCAATGTATCCATAGTGACCCCCTGAAAATGCCGGGAAATGTTAAATTTTGAATTTTCCTTTGTTCAAGCACTGCATTTGCAGTACGCACTTTCAACAACTGACACTTTTCATGGCGTGCAAAGTTAATCGCGAGCAAAGGTGCCTCGGCCAAGAGCAAAAATCAGTTGCACGCGTGTGTCCAAGTTTATCGTATCCGAGTAAATATCCTTGGAAACGGTACGATAAAAGGAAGTTTTCCCGTCGTGTGAATGGCCTCTAAGAAGCCTGAAAATCAAACGGGTCAAATGCATATTAGCCTGTCGCACGTAGAAGCCTGGCTGATGTGCAAGCGCGGATCGGGTAGGTCAACAGTGCATGCGCTATGTACGGTGCATAGTAAAACTGCCGCCATACCGGTGGTCAGTGGTAGATCTACACGTGTCGCGTGTAGAAGCGTGCATACAAGCCTGGCAAAAATATCAGTGGTGCATATAAGCATGGTTTGCATACAAGCCTGGTTTGCATTAAGGGGGCAGCCTGACCATAAATTTCATATGGCATTCAATAGACCAATCCCAAAAAGATTGTCTGGGTTCGAAAGGGGGCATGTCAACTGAGAGTACACTGTACAACACATACAAGGCACTACCTGATCAGCATGCGGCACAGGACGTGTGTGATAGTTCGCGTGTGAATGCGAGGGTAAGTACACGGTTTTCTCGTTAGTTGCATGCAAGAGAGACGATGCGACAGAAAGCAAAGCCCTTTGTAGTTTTCTCTCTCGTACTGGTAATGGTCTGCTGTTGGAGTGGAATTGCTAAGACATAATCCTTGTTTCGCTCTTCTGTGTAGTGTGAAGAGGTCAACGAACATGTAGAGCTCACTTTGATGAAGTAGGCAAGGCTGTGAGCGCTGTGGCTCAAAGCGATAGGCCCTAAATCTTATGAGATATTTCGAGTGCTATTGTTTGTTGCGAGCGCTTCGTCTTCGATGAGTCCTGCCTCTTTCCTGGCAGCTGCCCTCCTATAGGATCAACCACGAAGTAACTGTACTCATCTGCAGCCGATCAATGTTATATTGCACAAGAATATATCGTTTTCGCCAAGCCAGTGCCCCGCCAAAGACCATCGCCGCGTCACACTGTCGGAACGAGTTCATGATGAGAAACATCATTCGCGCGAGCGTGATGAAGAACTATTTCGAAAGACAACATAGTCTTTACCCCCGGTACGACAACTATGTGCACGTCCTGCAAGGGGAGAATGTCACCAGCGACATCAACGAAGACGACGGCAGTATTTCGGAAACCTGGAGTCAGCGGAGGTCGTCAAGCTCCTCCGCGACCCGGTACATGTACAGTATAGGTGACATGTCGACACGAGCGTGCGGAAACACAGCATACACTGTAGTAATGTTGCGAGAGTTTGCGGAAGGAGTCCAAGTCGGGAAATCCATCAGCTCCAAAAGCTACCTGTAGGTGGGCGATGAGACTCCAGCTTCAGACTACAACAGTCAGGACTTGTAAATAGTTGAACTTTGTGAAGCAGCAGATCGAGAAGTTAGCTGAAATCGTAGCGGTTGCAGTATGTCGGCGCTATGTAGCTTGCATTTTTTACGGAGAGTCGATAGCCACGCGAATGTTTCTCTCCTCACCGAGAGCTATCAGGCCTCCAAACTCCGTCAGGGTCTGCCTAAGGTACCGAAGGTCCTTTGACTAGCTGCTGGCAGGACTCCATCAAATCCTTTAGCTTCAGCTCAGCGAGCAAAAGTCTCTCTCTCCTCCGCCATGAGCTGACACACACAAACTGAATACAAAACGATGCACTTCACACGTGCTGGCTTGCACGCGTGCCCCCTTTCACGAACCCAGACAATCTTTTCGGGATTGGTCTATTGATCGTAACTTTGGTGTTTCTCGAAGGATTTGAGTGAAATTTTGACCACACACTCCTGCCACTATGCTGGCCCTCTGGACATGATTTACAAGTTCTTGCGTCTCACTGACAGGCTTTCCAGGCCGGAAAAACTCAAATTTCCGGCATAGTGCCACGGTGTGCGAGCCACCCATGAGCCAAACAAATGCATTTACAATTTTTTCACATTTTCGTGCCCATTCTGTCCGTGCGCGGGACCCAAACCTATAACAAGTCCAGAAGCAGCCATGGGTGGTGGGGTAGGGCCCCTCAACGTGGCCCTGGAATCTGTCACAACGGAACGAGTGGGCGTTCTCTCACAGACTCCCACAGACCCAAGTCAATTTTTGAATTTTTTTAGGTTTAGCACGTGCTACGAGGTCGTACCTTTGTACAACATCCAGTGCTGGGACGTCCACAGCAAGCCATTTCCACAGCGCTGCACACCAAATCCAGGATACCCTCAGAAACCGTCAAAGACTACCACTCACATTCCGCTACTGCCTAGTACTGAATCCTACCTGACTTCTTGACACGACTCAAACTTGCCAAAGTCACTAAATCAACGTCAACTACAATAATCAAGCCATATATCTGCAACGTCACGAGGGTGCTGGCAAAAGTCCTGCTGCACGTGGCTTAAAAACGTGATTTTTTGGACTTGGAGCAAAATTCTGCACACTTTCGCGTGTTTCCATGATACGACAAGTTGCGCACGGTCTGCTCACATTCAAATACAGTGCTGCCAGCAAATGACAGCGTGCAACAAAAAAATCTTTCCTTGCAAGGGCACATTTTAGGCCATAACTCTTGAACGGCTGGTCAGATCGGGACACAATTTTCAGAGAATTTGCAGCTATTCAAGCTCTTTGAACTGACGTAGCACTCAATATGAATTTACAAATTCGATTTTTCAGCGAATTTTGGGTAGTATACCACCTTAAAGCCTGATGCAGAAAGCGGCTTATATGCTTATAAGCCCGGCTTAAATCCGCGACTTTACGGTATGTGTGTGTGTGTGTCTGTCTGTCTGTCTGTGTGTGTGTGTGTGTGTGTGTGTGTGTGTGTGTGTGTGTGTGTGTGTGTCGGTCTGTCTGTCTGTGTGTGTGTGCTTGTATTTGTAGTTGTAGTTGTAAAGGTCAGTGGCCCCCTTTCTGGTCTCTAACCGAAATGGAAGGATAACTGTGTTTGCAGCCATGGCCGTCTGGTGTAGACTAGGCCATATTTGCTGCAGCATGTTCTAGTGTATTTGTGCTATGCTGGGACTAGGTACACAGACACGGGTTTTCGCTATCTCTTACGAATGCTGGTACAGAAATTTACTTGATCATAATATGATTAATACGGGCACAAACGTTTCCCGGTTTGCAGTATTTCCCTCTCCGTGGACGCTTCCAAAATTCCCATTCTCATGTGGCAAGGAATTATTACACTGCCTGGTCACATGCTGTAGGATGTCCTGCTGTTTTCACACTGTCTGTAACTAAGTTATACTTGGGGGACAACGAAAGGTTAGCGTTGCCAGTTGATTTACTACGGCTCTTTGGAACGGCACTCCATAGGAATTGGTTTTCGCTGTCAATCAGCAGTACCAACCATTGGCATGATCGTGTATCTCCGCTGCTTTTAGGCTAAAGATACAGCAGCTGCTAACACAACTGAATCATCCGTTGCTAGAGGATATCATGTCTTACCTGCTATGCCAACACCAACACAGATTGCAAACATCAAGAAGCGCAGAAAGGTAGGATTGGATGAGTCTATTTTGTTTTCACTTTTACGGGAGTAGCGATTTTGGAAACGCTGTGTCATGTCTGGTGAGTCAGCACCTTGGCCGGATACGACACGCTTGCACATTTCCTCTTTTTGTCCCAGCGTACAGAAACCCTACGCCCTCAACAACAGATTGAAGACCCACATCATTGTTTTCTCGCATCACCCGAATAGACAGATGGCCTTCCTGTACGCAATACATCCAGAGTCCGGAGTTCATTGCATTTTTTTAATATGATGGATTTCATATCACGATCAGTCACCACCGCCACACCAATGTCGTTGATGCTGCAAATTCTATTGAATTGGCTGCAGTGGAGCATCCGTGTTCTAAAAATGATGGATTTCACATACAAAATGAAGTGGCTGGTGTACCCTAAAACCATTTCACCAGTTGTAGTCTTTGGGGTGCTGAGTCGAATGGCCCATGTGTTGTAGTCTTTTGGACGCTGAGTCGACTGGTTGTGGTCCAAAAAGGCTGCGATGCAACATCCGGCCCTTATTCCCAATCTAACACGGTTGAGTAAGCGGTCAAGTGCTCATGCGTACACCAGTCGCCTGGTCACCGTACCTGCAGGCTACAACTAACTTTCACACCAAGGTTCAACTCAAAGATTCAGAGGTGCAACTCGAGTGACAGGAACGTCCCCAAACAGGCTGTAAGTTGCCATGGAGACCAGGTAACTGGTATACGCATAAGCACGTGACCGCTTACTCACCCGTGTTCGATTGGAAATAAGGGCTCAAATCTGCATCACAGCCTTTCCGGGCCAAAACCAGTCAACTCAGCATCCGAAAGACCACAACATATGGGCCAATCGCGGTCATCCATGCTTTTATAAGAATGAAATGGCGCTTTTAGCGACATTTTGCATAGAAATCCCCATCTAGTAGGGCGCAGTCACCCGGTTTGGGTGGACGTGGCGAGTTGGATTGGGAATAAAGGAGGAAGAGAGCATCTCGGCATCCTCAGTCGGACCAAGACCATTCGACTCAGCACCCCGAAGACTACCGTACTGGCAATATATGTTGCCGCAGTGAGGCCATGAAGCGTTACATTGGCACATATTTGCCGCACGCAGGGCGTTACATGCAAAGTCGCACAGGAGCCGTTACACAGGTTTCTATATTGCCGCAGTCCTTTTTTTGCTATTGCAGGACTTCCTGCTGCGCCCAGTTTTGAACTTTTCACCACGCGGTACACGTGCTTTCACAGTTTTCAGCCTTTTTTGCAATGAAAAGATCGCCGCACCCCGCCGGACGCGCGTTACGAACTCAACGAAAATTTGTCGCACTAGCCTGGTCGCGCGTTACGCCGCACCCCCTGCGTTACGCGTTACGCGGCAACATATATTGCCAGTACGGTATATTAACTGGTGGAAACTTGATTTTAGGGTATACTTCACCTTTTAAGGTGTAAGGGAGCATCTCATAAGTTCGCATCTTTTTTCTCAACGTAATGCATTTCGAAACGGGGGTAGGGGGGTAACGCCCTTTTCGAATAGAAAAATGAGTTTCAGAAAAATGACAGTTCGCACATTTTCTGGATTTGTACATACTGTGCATGCAGTGCATGTGCTAGATCGCTTCAGCAAATGAGCGTGTTTAGGTGTAGATCTACATCTATGTGCCTGTGTTTGGAGATCAGCCTTGCATTGCATGCATACAGGCTACTCACAGGTGTCAAGTGTCACATCACTAGCATCATCAAACTGTGTAGACTACCTGGCCAGCTTTTACAGTACACAGTGGTTGTGGAGGAACTCTGTTTATGTGCGTGTACATGTCATTCATTGTTCTTGTACTCAGTACTAGATGCAGTACTGTATGCCATTCACTTTGACATTCATGTGCATACCATGGGCATACAAGTCATGTGCATGGACATGCATGGCATGGACATGCACACTATTAGGTCCACACGGAAAATGTGCGATAAGACTTTCAAATAGAGGGGGGAGGTAGGGGGGTAAAGTCTATTCGAAATGCGTTACGTTTACAAAAAAAGTGCGAACTTATGAGATGCTCCCTAACGTATTTGGGCCATGACCAGACAGCGGCATTTACTAACGGGGCTTTCAAGAGTGGGCCTAGACATTTGGTGTTGGGGTGAAAGTTGATGCACATGTGTAGTCGACCTCATGTGATAAGGCAACACTGCCTGTTTGTTATTCGACGCTAAATAAACCAATCCAAATGTGTGTGTATGTGCATGTGTGTGTGTATGTGTGTGTGAGTGTGTGTGTAAGTGTGTGTGTGTGTGTAAGTGTGTGTGTGTGTGTGTGTGCGTGTGCGTGTGCACGCACGTGTATATGTGTGCGTGTGTGTGTGTGTGTGTGTGTGTGTGTGTGTGTGTGTGTGTGTGTGTGTGTGTGTGTGTGTGTGAACTCTCGTTGGCCGCTAGCCTGCGGAGCGTGCTGCGTACCGTATTCAACGACCTACCCCATGTCTGTCGGCCCCTCATATGAGGGGACATGTGACCGTTTTACGGCAATGTTCAGGACAGGGGACAGGACAGGTGTGAGCAATGAGCATGCATGCATGCGTGTGTGCACGTGTATGTGTGTGTGTATGTGTGTGTGTGTGTTTGTGTGAGCATGCATGCATGCGTGTGTGTGTGTGTGTGTGTGTGTGTGTGTGTGTGTGTGTGTGTGTGTGTGTGTGTGTGTGTGTGTGTGTGTGTGTGTGCATGTGTTTGTGTGCTTGTGTGAATGTGTGTGTGTCGGTTGATGTCTGTTTTGTGCCTGTGTGTTATCCGGTATGCGATTTTCTGTTGTTACGCAGTGGATCAAGTCAGAAGTACAGCAGCATGGAGAACATGCCATGCTTGCCACGTACAGTGACAAACTGGTTGCTGTGTGGTCTGATGGTGTGAGCATCACCAAGATCTTGGAGACATCAGACCTGCAGACATGGCACAATATTGACCTACCAAGTGTATACAGTAAGCTGCAATGCCCATCACTGGCATCCCATGGTGGTATGCTGTACATGCACTGTGTAACGCAGACCAAGACATGGTTTGGCACCCCCAGGATTGTGCGGTCTATCCTGCAGTACTGTGACACACCAGATACCGTAGATGGCAGCCGGGGTGGTGGTGGTGGTGGTGGTCGGTGGACCAAACTTACGGATGTCCCGTCGCACTGTAACCATGACTGGTGTACTCTACATGTATGTGCTGATGCTATTTCTGTATATGGTGGCAAGCATTATGGAACATTTCACAATCATGTTAGTACCTATTCTGTAGCTAGCAAGCAGTGGAGCTCTTCTTCACCATCCAATACTAGCCTAGTATTACCTTCATTGCCACTACCATGCAGCGTTGCATCACTTGTCACATTCCCTGATTCACTGTACTTAGTTGGTGGTACTACTGGTTGTTTTTTCAAACACCATGATGGTAGGTGGGTGTCCACCAGTCCACCTGATGGTGTTAAGCTGGAGTTTAGTGCAGCGTGCGCACTGTCTGACCATAGCATGGTTATTTGCCCCTACAGTCCTTCTGCTGAGTGTGTTGTATATGATATTTCATCTGCTCAGGTCTATCCACTACCAGCTATGCCAGAGTACAGTTATTCAATTTATTACACTCCATCTCTCACACTGTTTGGCAGTACACTGGTACTCAGTGTAGGTGGAGATGACAATGACAAACTTGGTTCTCTATACACACAGGATATGAGTGTGTGAGTGTAGTAGGTTACTAACTACAGTCAATCACTGATGATAACTACAGTATGCAAACTGTACTGCTTTTCACTTTCTTTCTATTATCAGAAAGTTGATAATCTTTGTTTTCAGATCTCTCTGTCAAACTATTTTTTTCAACCAAAATCACTATCTAGCCTATCTAACCACTGTCTCTGCTCCACCTTGTCCCCTGGTACTGTCCCCGGGTACTGTCCCCCTGGTACTGTCCCCTGGTACTGTCCCCCTGGTACTGTCCCCCGGTACTTATTTTTCTCACCCCACACCCTCTACTCTGTTATCGGCCCTCTTAAGAGTTGTGTTCATCACTGTTGAGGCTTCCGATGGAAAATAAAAGAATACTACTACTGCTACTACTACTGTCCCCTGGTACTGTCCCCGGGTACTGTCCCCGGGTACTGTCCCCTGGTACTGTCCCCTGGTACTGTCCACGGGTACTGTCCCCTGGTACTGTCCCCTGGTACTGTCCCCGGGTACTGTCTCCTGGTACTGTCCCCTGGTACTGCCCACGGGTACTGTCCCCTGGTACTGTCCCCGGGTGCTGTCCCCTGGTACTGTCCCCTGGTACTGTCCCCGGGTACTGATAGAGGAGACAGGCTAGATACATGTATGTAGATAATCTGTACCGGTATGTGTGTGTGTTGTGCTGTGTTTATTCTAATTCGCAAACCAAACGGGCAGATCTGCCCGATGAAAAGGTGGCGAATGCAGATAGAAAGCACTAGTTAATGAAATTGGGGAGGGATTTAATAAGGATAGAGGTGGAGAGAAACTAAGCCAGAAGATCATCAAACAGGACGTCTGGTACTCTAGGTACTAAGGGTGTGCGGGATCATGCTGGCGCGGAACTGGCGGAGCGTGGAGATGGCACGTATATCGCTGGGTAAGGTGTTGCACAGCTGGGCGCCCCGGAACGCGAGGCAACTATTGCCGAACCTGGTGCAAACTGGCGGGTGACGCAGACCCATGGTGGAGTGCAACCTAGTTGGGCCAGCTGACGAAGGAACTAGGAGGGCTTGCAGATCAAAACTTGAGTTCCCATTCCGAGATCTCCAGACAAGAACGATAAACTTCTGCCTGAATATCTCGGATACTCTGTATGTGTCCAATTTCAGCAGGAGGGTGCGCGCGGAGGTGTGATGCGAGAGTCCGAAAACCGCCCTTGCTGCCCGATTCTGCATGACTTGTAGCCGATCCAATTGGTTGGCAGTAAGAAGTGGAGAGAACGCATTGGATCCGTACATCAGGTCAGACATGATGATCGCTTTGAAGTAGAGAACTCGGCTCTGATGAGTCAAGCAGCGACGCAACCTCCATAGTGCTCCGATCTTCTGGGCCAGTTGAGCGATGCTGCGATCAACATGGGGCGTCCATGATAGATCCGAGTCGAGCCTCGGAGGAGCACTCCAAGATACCTGGCCGCAGTAACGACAAGAATTGGCGTTTCATGACAGTTTACATTGATCGTCTGCTGGGGCTGCTGAGGCTGCCTGTTGGGGTATACCGGGATCACTTGGCTCTTGCGTCTTAGCTGCATTCAAAATGAAACTACGGGTCTGCAACCAGTCAGCAAGTGCAGAACAGAGGCCGATAGCGTAGCAGATACCGTGTCGAGGAATGTGCTGCTGCTGATCAGCGCGATGTCATCGGCAAATTGAACCGATGAAGACTGGTTAGCTATGATCGGAACTTCGCGGGTGTAGATACTGAAAAGGATCGGTCCTAGAACAGAACCTTGTGGCACGCCACGGGATGGTTCAGAAATGGCACTCTGATCCCGTCCAACACAGATACGCTGAGTACGGCTCGACAGATAGGCGGAAAACCACTTTAGGGCTGTCCCTGTTATGCCGATATCGAATAGGTCCTGGAGTAGCCGTTCATGACGAACCTTGTCGAATGCCTTTGACATATTATCTAGAAGACATATGCCAGTACACAAACGCTTGTCCCGTGCAATAAGTTTACGATTTAGCATAAGTACCAGGGCATCCTCCGTTGAGTGGCCTGCGCGGAATGCAAACTGAGTCGTGGGGAGGGTACCAGATATGTCCAGAAACTGGGCTAGCTTCTTCTGTACGACGTTCTCCAAGAGTTTTGACAATATGGGAAGTAGGGACACAGGACGGAAGTTAGTGGGAATAGACGGGTCCCCGGCTTTGAACAGCGAGATAACGTGTGCGTCTGTGCGAGTTTGAAGGCTGTGGGGACAGTGCCATTGACAAGCGAGGCAACGTGGCCACGGACGCAGCTAGGATATCGGCACAGCACGTCAGAAGGTGGCCAGGTATCCCGTCGCTTCCTGTAGCTTTGGCAGGATTGATTTGTCGGAGAAGCCGTTCTACTTCGCCAAAAGACACTTGCGGCAATTCTGACTTTGCAGTCTGAGGCTGTGGACCTTGCGGTAGCGGGATGCTGTGAGGACGGGCCTTGTCTGTTACTACTGTCTGGAAGACTGACGAAACTTCTTCAATGGGGCAAGTAGGCTCCACACGTATTCTCTTCCTGTTCGTAACGGAGTTTATGACGTTCCAGAGCTTACGCGGATTCTGACTGGACGCGGCACATTGCGCTCCGAAGAAATCGTTGCGCTTTCGGTGATAGGTATTTCTGGCGCTTGCGCGTGCTTGCTTGAACTGTACGTGAAGATTCTGGTTTCCCTTATCGCGTAGCCACCGTCGGTGTAGCTGGTTTTTTACGTAACGTTGGTTGAGCTTGTGGAGCTCTCTGTCGGACCAGGGCGGGTGGGATTTGCGATTGGAAGATACATAGCGGATGGGTGCATGCTTGTCCACGACAGCCAAGAACTTGGTGTGCCACGACGCCCACATGGTGTCCGCATCCCGTATGTTCGTAAAATCATCCAGCCCTGCAGAGCTGACATCCCGACGGAATTCGCAGAGGTTCACCAGCCGAGTATTTCTCTGAGCTGGGACCCGCTCTACTGCCTGAGGTGACACGCTGCGAGAAACCTAAAGGTGCAGATTAGCCTCAATCCCAAAGTGGTCGCTATTGGTCAAAGGCAGGACGTAGCACTCACTGATGTCTTGACTGGCTGAAAGAATGAGATCGATAGTTGTACCAGAACTGAGATGGGCACGCCGGTGAGATACGAGTCGGAGCATGAACATGATTAGCGTATCTCCACTTAATTATTTGTCGCTGACTTTGGAGTCTTTGTTAGTTTTCAACTTTCTCCTGAATTTTTACAATCTTCTACAATGTGGCAATGAACATTGATAATAACGAGAGAGCTTGGAAGCTCAGGGCCCTACGCTATGCTTTTTTGCCTAGCTAGCTAGCTCATCATGCATGTTATTAGAACTGATGGAAATGTTTGTTTTTTCCATTGATTGGCTACATCAAACTTTCTCTTTGCATTCGAGGGTAATACGACACCGTCTACCACGTCTACCACCTTGATGCATCGATGACCTAGGCAAAAAGGCATAGGGATAATTATAAATGTTTCATTTCTCCTTTTTTTTTCTCCATAACCTGGGATTCGAACCCACACTATCACCCTGCATGCATTCCACCGATACACTTCGTATACATACTCATTCTTTTCTTATTTTCCAGACAAACCAAGCCTCTTGTATGGGCAAAATAAACACAATAATTATTACGAGTGCAACCTCAACAGCACCGGAAGAAAAACGAACAAAAATGGCTGTGAAATCAGTCTAGTATGGAGCCTTGGGAGGGAGCTTTAACCGTTGCTGCTCATGGCAACCGCAAATCGGGCCGAGTCGTTTGCATCTGAGGGCACTCTGTGCCGATGGCCTCGCAGACTGGCAACAGCAGCAAGGATGAGGGCAAAGCTGAGCTTACATCGGATGTAGGAGATTGTGGCAGAGTACGGCTCCTGCTTCTTGTCGACGATCATCGATGCCAGCCGAGCATAGAGTGCTGTCGCAGCTTTGCCATACCCTCCAGTGCACGACAGGACAACTGGTGAGAAGGAGGCGTGCTCGACAGTGGTGATCCGTTACTCGTAGCGACGACGCTTCTCCTGCTCATGTCGCTTGTACACAGCGGGCAAGGCAAACTTGGCGTTGGTAGGGGCATGGGGGTTGAAAACCCGGACATCAAAGTACGAACGCTCGTACCGACCTCCCCAGACTCCACTGGCACCGATGTCCAGGCGGGCGTTGTCTTCAGTTGAACCCGACCGTAGCGTCATCCTCTCACCTGTCAGCGGCTCTAGCAGCGGTTCCACGACAACTTGGTGCGCAACTTCCTTCATGATGGATGCTGTGAGGTCGCGTACCTCGTTGTGGCGGAGGCTAGGGTAGCCGCCGGTTGAGCAGGAGAGAGCATGGGTCACGGTGAATAATTTACCACAGCTGCCAGCAGAGGGCAACCGCTTCAGAGGCCAGCCATATCGCAATGAAACCGGATCATGAAATGCGCCCTTGGATAGCATGAAGCCAGATATCTTCAGTGGTTTGCATGTCAGCCACGACGAGGCACCCTTCTCCGCCGCCAGCTCCCTGGACCGCTTTAAGTCCGAAGCGATGCTCACTTCCACAGCGATTAGGGTCTCCTTCTCCCTTACGGAGTGGATCCTGCGCACCTTCGCCTTCTCTGCCTTCATGGTGTGGTGAACATCACCTAGGTCCGTGTTTTGCACGATGATCCGCTCCACCAATGGCTGCGTGATGGTCCTGGAGTCATCAAACTGGCTGGCGAGATTGCACGGGTTGATTAGATCCATGCCCCCTAGGTGACAAGGCAGAGCGAGGAGAGTGCGGGTGGTCTGATCAGGAGCGGGGTGTCCTGTGAGCGCCGGGATAAACTCGCCGTGGATAATCTCCTCCAGTGGCTGGAAATTCTCTGTCGCTTCTGGCATGGTGCGAGCGAGGAACTTGCCCTTCAGCCCTTGCGAGAACGCGGTGTACGCTGCTTGTGGTTGCGATTGGGCGTACCTGGTGAGGACTTGCAGTTCCTTCACCCATTCCGTGACCTTCGCTGTAACAAACTGCTTGCAGAAAGCAGCAGTGCCCAGTCCCGCACCCAGGTGACCATGGTGACGGCAACCGTCTTGCATGATTGCGATGTTAGTCCCATGGAACACTTCCTCCGCGGTTTTGGCAAACTGTGGTTTCACCAGGAGAGTGGACTTGGAACCATTGATGAAGTATCCGTACTTGTGGCCCTCCTCCTTGAGCATGTTCCACCATACACGCAGCGCATGCATACGGCCTGCTGCTGTGAAATCATCCGCAAACCAGATGTGCTGTGCCGCTGAGCTGCTCGCTGCCTTCTGCATGGGAGGAGCCCAATGGCATACATGGGCATTGCCATCGGGTCTCCCTGGGTGGTGCCCTCCTCAGAAAGAAGACACTCCCCA